TTGGCACACTCACTACAGTGATTTCCTCAAGTAACCCAGTGGAAGACGGCAAATCACCCCTAGGGTAAGTCGTTCCCTTCCAAGTTACCTCTTTTCGACGCACGCTGCTCCTCCCGGTAATACAGCTCTCACTTATCTGCTGCACCGCACACTTCCAATGTCTGCTACAATCAAAGCTGAAGCGCCGCATGCGCACGCAGAAGGCGAAGAGCCGGAGGGAAAAACCCTGTCGTGCCCACCAGTAAAACGCCTCACGATCTCGTCGAGTCCAACGTGTCACGAAATTCTGCAAAGTGTCACATCGGATGATCACCGCCGCCCTGTTCGACGTGCATCTTCCAGCCATTCCAAAGCAAGGAGACGAGGAGGCGATTCGGGAGAGGGAGAGAGCGCTTCTTCGACATCGATCCATGCAGCCACTGATAGCATCCCTTCGTCGCTGTAGTAGCGTAGCAAGCGCAGTGACTCACCTGGGGCAAGTGCTATCGGTTACCGTGTTTCCAATTCCTACCTCCAAACGAGGTCGCAGCTCCTTCCCAATTAATAACCCCAACGCCCCTTCTCCGTCACGACCTCCGAAGCTCAAACCGCAACCCTCACTTCCAACCCTTCCCGGTCCCCATCTTTCGTACCACTCACCCCAGTCACAGCAACTAGACTCCGACCCGACCGAACTGCATTTAAGTGACATTTGTCAAATCCTGGAAGTTTGCGTAGGCATAGCGTTGATTTTCTGCATCTCTACGTCTTACTTTTCACTGCACTATTTCGTGGCAAGCCCCTTCTGTTCTCCTCCTTCCTGGTGTTGTCTTGTTAGTTATTCCAGAAAAGTATCATGCATGTGAGAGGGCACCTGATTTGCGTGAGGGAGGAGGGGTGGGAATGAAGTGGGTGCTGGATGATGTGGATGTTCTGGGGTGATGTGCATTTGGACTGGGAATGTTCCGGTAAAGCTGAAGTAGGACAAGATGTTCTGTGACGAACGTTACGAGTTACTCCACGCGGCTTTGTGTGAGGGGACGGGAGGAGGGCGAGGGGGAGAGTGCCGTGAAGTTTGAAGGAGGCCTTCCGGGAGTGTGATGCAGCTTGAGGAGAATTTCTGGGGAAGTGCTGTGAAGTTTGGCAGGAAAGGAAATACGCACCTGTTGGGTTGTTGAGAGCTACTCAGTGCTTTCGAGAGATTTGCCACTCTTAGCTGTCCCGGACTTTCTCGCTTGGAATGCATGCTTCGTAAAATTGTTAGCCGCTCGTGGAAGGATTAAAAATGAGGAAAATCCTCCTTTATTTTTT